TCTTGTTCACTTATCCCTGGACGATCAACATATGAAGGTCCCCTGATACATCAAAAGTGAGAAGCAAAATGATTTATGCAAGCTCCAAGGACAGGTTTAAGAGGGAATTGGATGGTATTCAGATAGAGTTGCAAGCCACTGATCCTACTGAGATGGGTCTTGATGTCATAAGGAGCCGCTCTGGCTCCGTTTAAACATGGATTGCCTCTCCGGCAATGGCCCAATGGGAATTCCGTCATATTCTGGTTCTCCTAATGTAATGTCTATAGCAATTTGGAACTTAGAACTTGTTTCATATGGGTTGTTCTGAATTTTACTCTTCGGTATTGCCTTGATTTGTTATATCTGTGGATTCATGGGGGTGAATACCCCCCTTGTGAGATATTTACAGACTAATATATGATAGTTTGTGGGGGTCACCAATCTCATTTTGGTTTGATTGTGTGCCTTATCATTTGTGCTGAGTTGTCTTTTGTTGTACTTGTGGAGGTTTAGATTACTTCTGCAATCATAATAATCTCTCATTGATCGATTCCTTTGTCCCAACCTTTACACTTCATTCATCATCCCAACCTTTACGCTTCATTCATCATCCCGACCATTGCGCTTCATTCATCTCTGCTTCCTTTCCCGTTCAACCGTGGATTAGAGGTATTATGCATCCCATTATTGAGGAGAGTAGGGACTTACTTATGTATAGGTGTTATATATTATATTTATGTAAAATTATAATTATTTATCTTGTTATTTTAACTTGTTGAGGTTTATCTATATTTATTGAAAATAATTATTTTTTATTTTAAAAATATAATAAATTTTAATTACTAAAAATAAATTGATAAATAATTAATATTTTATATAAATATATTATATAAAATTTATATATAAATGAGAACCTCTTTCTAAAAGATGTGTATTACCATCCTTTATAGAAGATAGTTGTATAATTACTGATATTTATGTTAAATGGAGTTGAGGTAATATGCTTTTTTTCAAGACTAGGATTTGTTTGAGATTTCTGGCCTCTTTTTAGTTTTTTACTTTTATTTACTTATTTATTTTTTTGGGTGAAGATTTATTGTATCATTGTGGTTTATGAAAAAAGGTTGTTTAAATGGAATAAATGCTTATAATGGTGAACACTACTATATAAGCATATATTAATCCCTTAATTGTAGATAACTTAGCTAAGACCTTATAGAAAAACCCAAATAATTTTTAAAAATAAATTTGCTCAGGGAATTAATTCAACGATGGATCCAAAAATTACATCTCACCACCGTTAAAATCAAGCCAAAAGTCAGGTTGATGCTGTTAGTCAGTGTTTCATGATGACAGTGTACGTGTACCACGTGAGGCGCCAAGCACTTGATCCATTCCTTTAGAACCTCCAATTGCAAGCCAGTAGCAGGCCATACGAAGCTCAATTTCAGAATGCGCTTCCGCTCTTTTCTTCTTCCTCAAATCTGAGATTCCCGCACTCCGAAATCCCAAATTCCAAATATCTTCTCTAGGGTTTTACAACTCCTGCTCTTCTTGCTCGTCAAGGTTCGTAAATCTTTTGCTCAGGTACCTAAACATGTAATATTATGCAACTACGTGTATTATCGTCTTGCCTTTTTTTTTTTTTGATGAATTTGATCTCTTCTGCCTCATGTTTGGCGGCTAAGAAAATTTTAGGCAGTCTTGAAACAGGAAAGAGAATTTGACGTCTTGAGTTTGGTATTTCATGTTAATTTGGTTTAATTAGATTGCAAGGAAATTGTTACCATGAGGAAACTTGATTTTCATGCTACATTGCTTACTAGGGTTGCAATTTAGGCTGAGGAATGAATATTGCTGGCTGTTGTGGTGTATACTTCAATTGTTGAGGATTGAAGGTTTTCCGGCAATTGAGATTTTTAAATATTCGTAGTATTTGTGCCCTAACAAAGACTGATGCAGTGGATGCTTGACTCATTACCTGAGAATAAATTAAAAAAATATGAAATCTTTGATGCTAAGGTTTTGTGATTTTATTTTAGTTTCTCAGGAAAAAGGATCTCAAAGACACTGTTGTATTGGCATCAGTTAATGAGATTAATTCTCATTGATAAAGATTCATTAGATGTTTATTTTATGAACAAAAGAATGGAGGATCAGTCGTAACAGGTCTTTGTATGTCAATGGTGATATTGATGCATTCCCCCTTTCTCCCTGAATCCTCTGTGCATTTACTGTACTTTATCCCCTTGCTATACCATTTATCCATTAAAATATCATTGATTATTTTCTTTATAAACTGAGTTAAGCACATGTAAGGATTTTGAGTTTCATGACATGGTATCATATATTTTTTCTTCTCTCTTTATGGTGACTTTTGGGTCTCTGTATAATTTGTTATTTTTTTGAGCTGGTGGTTGTTTGGAAGCTTGGTTTCTAATACCCTTAAGAATTTCAGTACTTGTTCATCATGAGTTTGGACAGAAGGCAAAGCCCTGTGCGTGCCAAACGGTTTCGTAGTGATGAACGCATATCTTACCGTGATGCACCTTACTTGAGGGATCGCCAAACTTACCGGTGCGCTTCAGTCCATGGTTGCATTACCTTTTGAGAATCATGTTACTGTTTTATCCCTTTTCATAAAGTATCTATTCTAGAAACTTGAGTATCATTTCATTCTTGTTATTTCACTTGTATGTTTCTATTTTGGCTTGCTAGCAGAACTTCCCATTTTCTGCAATGCATTACTTCTTAACTGTACATTTGCATTTGTTGTATGGAATGTCTGCTTTTATGGTTAAGCTTTATGAAGAACAGCCTTAAGTTTTCCAGTTAACAATTCATGGAAAAGATTGCAAATTGCTTTTCATAGATTTCAATAATCAAGTGTCTGGTTAGACTTGCTAAAAGTAGGAAGGTTAGTGATATGTGAAGAAGAGCGAAAAACTTTGTGCACAAGATGGCACAATAGGTTATTGGTGTAAAACTGTTCAATTTGAACGAATCTAATGTCAACCAATTTGTTTAAGTTAATGGGTACAGGTAGTCTGATTTGTTGGTTTAGACCTTTTAGGTACAGGCTTTTCGTTCATTGCGACTCACCCTTTACCACATACACTGATTTTTTTTACTCAACTTCTTCTGGAATCTTAAATTCAGAATTATTATAGCATCCTTTTTGTGGGAAATGAGTTCTGTTATGAGTTTTATTAGCGGATTTTGTTTTTGTTTCCAGGCAAGATTACTTATGCAACAAGTGTAAGCGACCTGGACATTTTGCAAGGGATTGTCCAAATGTTACTGTATGCAACAATTGTGGGCTTCCGGGGTGAGATGAGTTTTTCTTCATTTAGTTTATGTAGAACATTCCCATATAATCGTTCATGTTGTCAGAAAAATATTTCCAGTTCCAGAAATATAAATTATGGTTCCTCGGTATCAGCACTGTAAATCCTTTATAGGTTCATGATATCCTTTCTGGTCACTATCTTGTTTTAGCCACATTGCTGCTGAATGCAACTCAACCACCATGTGTTGGAACTGTAAGGAGGCTGGACATCTTGCAAGCCAATGCCCCAATGAGCCAGTTTGCCATACGTGTGGAAAGATGGGTCACCTAGCTCGTGACTGCCTGGGCACGGGATTTCCATCTCATGATGCTAGGCTCTGCAACAATTGCTATAAGCCAGGCCACGTTGCTGCTAAATGCACCAACGAGAAAGCATGCAACAACTGTCGTAAAACTGGCCACCTTGCTCGCGACTGCACAAATGATCCTGTCTGCAACATCTGCAACATATCTGGCCACTTGGCTCGACAATGTCCAAAGTCAGGCCTTTTGTCAGACACCGGAGGTGGATCTTTCCGGGACATCGTTTGCCGCAACTGTGGTCAGCCAGGCCACATCAGCCGTGAATGTGTGTCCATTATCACATGCAACAACTGTGGTGGGAGAGGCCACCTAGCTTTCGAGTGCCCTTCTGCTAGGATGTACGACCGTGGACCACGTAGGTATTGATTAGTAACCAGCTAATGGGTAAGGGATATGATTTACTATTCATAATTCATTCATGGAATTACCAACTTTTAGGCATGTAGATGATAATTTTGTTATGAATTGATTGAATTCTATATTAAATCAACAAGTCAATTATCCTAGCATCATTTTTCTTTCGCATCTTCCGCTAGCGGCTGGTCCTTAAAGGATGTAGTAATCCAGTATTTAGTGGGAAATTTTAACCCAGAAGGCAGAAATGTACTACTTTTCGGCTTGAAGCATTCTTCCTCATTCAGTCATTTGTCAGTAATCTCTAACTTAATTTAAGGAATGCATACATTTTACCATGGTTTTACAGAGAGATGTGCCCATTAGAGAAAAGAGGCAACATCTACGTTTTGACTATAACAGGAGAAGATGAGCGTCGGCCCAACCTGACCCTGATTGGAGCAATTAGGGTGGCTCTGGGCAGAATCCGATCAGACCAATTTCTCATTCCTCATCTGCTCTGCCCCACCACCACTTCCCAAATCCAAAGGAAGTTATTTTCCAATGATCTCTCTTGGGCCCGCTCATCCCTGCCCGTATTCGATAGATATCCTCAGAGCTCGCGCCTCGTCGCCTACCTCATGTCTCTCCCCCATGCTCACCATTGCCGCCGGACTCATCCTCGCCCATACCCATGACTACGTTCTCATGCGCAAATATAGAGGGTTCCTCTACATAAGCGAGATGGACATCGTGCTCGAGATCCCGCTTCTTTCATGGCTCTGATAAGGTGCACTATAGGAGATCCAAGGGCTTGACGGAAGCTGTTGCTCAAAGCCGCCAAGATCACAGCCAAAGGAGGAGTCGAGATCGTGAAGCAGGTGGCGAACTTGGCGAAGGCGGTAGCCGGAAATGTAGGGAACGAAAGAGTCCACAGCGAAAACAGATTAGGGCTTTTCGTAGGAGGTTTTAGATAAATCTTGGATCCGACGAGTCGACTATGAGACCACAGATGATGTTTAAGTCGTTAACGGCGTTTTATCTAAACCCTGAATTTTCGTTGTATTAATTATTTTAATGAATAGTAGGACTAGAAGTTTTTGTTTTTTTAAGAAATTGCCAAAATTTTGGGCTGTAATTAATTAATTTTATAATTTAAGATGCTTTGGATTCGCGAATGGGGGGATCTGCCGAATTTTGATTGGCTTTCATTTTCAATTTTTTAAAAAAATTTAATTCTCGAAAATTCAGAAAGACGACAAACCCCCCAAAAAAAATATAAAAAATGCAAGAATTAGCGCTTGACAGCTAATAATGTCAATCACCAATCTCATAGAACCACGCTTGTACGTACAGCTCATGGCTTAATGCTCCATCCTTGGCGAACTTTAAGAATTCCCGCATCTTTTTCTTCTCCGTTTTTCTATGTTCAAATGTAGAGAAAACACTGGAAACATCAAGCTCCATTACAGACGAACGTGAGCACGAGCACAAGAACAAAAAACAAAGGAACAGAATCTGAGAGTCGGTTTTTTTTTTTTTTTTTTTTTTGGGTATTGGTAACCGGAAGTTTGGTGGTGGGGAGATTGATTGAACTCGATTCAGATGGCCGCGACTTATAATCCGGGGAGTTCCAGGCTACAGCTGGCAGTCAGCGGTATGTCCCGGCTTAGATCTTCTTCCCTGAAGAAGCCGCCTGAGCCGTTGCGAAGAGCTGTGGCTGATTGCCTGTCGTCTTCCTTGACGTCTGGACTGAGCTCGTTTCACCATGGCAGTTACTCCATGCTGCTATCTGACGCTTCGAGGACGCTTCGGGTGCGTAATTGCCTAGCTGAATTCTCTGTGGTGTGTTAGATCTTATGCTGATTGGGGGAATGCTTGGAATCTGGATTCTGATTCTAGTGTGTGTTTTGAGTTTCCTCTCATGGTTTTTGATTTAATTTTGGTGTTTTTCCTGTGTTTGGTTGCAGAGAAATGGAAAGAACGTAATAAGTAATCAGGGTGTTTTGTTGTTGGAAAGTTGATAATTCTGCTGGAAAAAAAATTACGTAAAAGTTATTTTCAGAGGTTTCTAGCATTTTTTTTCCCCTTAGCAGTTCCACACTTTGCTTTTGAGGGCTAAGTGGGGTGCTACAGCTACTGTTTTTGCTTTCTTTTCCAACTTAATTCAGCTTTCATTTGTTCTGAATATATTGTCTATGGTTAGCCAAATCTCAGTTGGCCACGTAACATGTTAATTCTTAATTGTGGTGATGTGAATGCTGATGATTAGAGTTGCTGTGATCAAGAATTTCTTCATGAGTATTAGACCTTGCTTTTTCTGCACAATTGTTGTGGGATTTATTTTCAAACCTGTCAGAAACTTGGATTTAAACATGGCAGGACTATCTGGCATCACCCTCAACGGTTGACTTGGCCTACAATGTTATTTTAGAGCATACGCTTGCAGAGAGGGAACGCAGGTAATTTCATCATCTATTAACAATTTCTTAGTTTTTTCTGGCATTAATTTTTCTTATAAAGTGCTTTCTTATCTTCTTAGTATGGCTGTATCTGTAATTTAACTTGTGTTGCTAAAGGAAACTTGGGTTTTGGTTTCTTTCTATCCTTTGATTTCCTTTAACTATTGAGGGAAAACCAATGGATCTTTGTTGGATCAGTTTGACATCTTTAAGAATCTATGCAATCCCTTATGGCAAGCAACATTAGATGCCATCAGAAAATTTTGCAGAAAAGAAATGTTGTAGGTGTTGGGTTTGAAGCTTGCCTCCCGAGGATAGTTGGAGTGTTGCATGTTTTTGGAAAATTTTGACTTAAAACTGTTAGGGGTTCGGTGAAACTCAACTTTATACCTCCACCAAATTTGAAATTATTTCATATGAAATCCCTCTTAAAAATCTATAACCAAAAACAACCTAGGGGTATTGTTTGATTATAGCAATTACTTTCATAAGGTATTGATATATGTTGATTTCATGTTAGGCTTTTTATTAAAGGATAGCAGGTTGCACCGAGAAACTGTAGATACAATGGGTGTGCTCATGTTTAAGATCCTAATATGTTATTGAGAAATTTCTGTTTAATTATGTTTTGGATTTTTTTTTCCGATCTAGTGCAGAATTTGTCTCCATGCAGAAATCCCTTTCTAGTCAAAGTATCATCCCTTACTGCTTTACATAGCTTTGTGCTATTATTCTAGTCTTTTGCAGCTAACATGCCTATAATTTCTGCCAGCCCAGCTGTAGTTGGAAGGTGTGTAGCACTTCTAAAGCGGTATCTTCTACGGTAAGTTGTTCTTGTAGCAAATTTGTATTGTTTGTTAAATTTTGTTTCCTATTATTTTACTATGAATGGGTTTCTAGCATTTGATGATCAGTGGATCCAAATTCACATTCTGTGAAGTATGAGTGCTCATTCATCTGAGTTGCATCCAACAATTTATTATACTTCTTTGTTTAATGACCTATGGTTTCCTCCTAGCCTTTTCCTGATGAATGTTTGACATGGGAGC